TCGCTCCTCTGGAATATGATGGTCACACTTGACTAGGTCAAATCCTTCGTAATAAAAAGGGAATCCGAATCTACCCCCCTTGTAGATCTCTGGGCACACACTGTGCGCCTCGTGTGCATGACGGCGCGTCACCGACAAACTATCCAAATCAAACGCACGCAAAACTTCCTTTAAAGCGTGGCCAGCAACTAGCATAGCATCTCTTGCTTTTGTTCCCCGGACATGATTTACAGCCTTTTGAAATAATCCGCCTACGATTGCAAGTTTAGATTTGGTTTCTTCATTGTTCTTTTTACAATTGCTAACGAATGCCTTGCTCTTAAAATCCAGATTGGTAGAAATATTGGCTCGGTCAGGAACAAACGCCACTGGATCATGCCGAATCGTGTTTCGGAGATCTTTTTCCCTTGCTGTTTTCGATATGGAAGCAGGCTTTTCCATGTACAAAGAAATACATGACACTAGAAGAGTATAACCAATGATAAGGACCACTCTTACAACCACATGGAACCTCTGATGAATCGTCCTCATTGCTTCCAACGGCGAAAAAAATAATTCTATTTTTTTCTGCTACAAAATTGTAACTTTGGATCATCCATGAAGTAAAATATTAGACGTTGAATCCAAATAATTAACACTTATAAATCATCAGCCTTTGTTGTATCAGACACTGCTATGCGGTCTTCATTAGTGGTATCAATTGTTTGTCACTGTACAAGTTACACTGTTACCTCGTCCGTCTATGCATAGCAATGACTAGACTTTCTCATTTTGGTAAGAAATTATTTTACCGGTAACCAGAGTCGTTTAGTCTTTTTCTTGGCTTAATGCGACAGGTATGTGACCGAGGTAATTGCTATTTCAATATCTCCCCCGGGACGTCTGTTGTATTTTTTCTGACGCCGACTGAGTTAAAAGAAATCCCCCAAGCCAAAATAATCAGTTGGAAGAAGTTTTTTTTTTACCAGAGGGACAGAGATCACATTTGCAGATTAAGTTTACCATCCACAAACTTCTTAGGATACGATATTTCCATATTACGAAAGATTTTTTTTTTTACTATTCTTAGAAGACCGTTTTATGGATCATTTCAGGGGAGTGAATTTTCGAATTTCTATACTACCGCGATCAACTCTAGCATAATTTAAAAAAATCCTTTCAGAAAAAAACCCCTGTAAGGTGAGATCAGCCAAGAGAAGTTTATCAGTTGTACATGTAATGAAAATCAGGGGATGTTACTGTAGGTAAGGAGCACTAAAATACCGTTCTCTAGTGTTTTGTCGCAAGCAGGGGACAGGAATCCTTAATACAGATGAAATTATAACATACTTTGAGATGTTCTCTGATTTAACTACTCTCAGCGTCCGTCTCTGTCTCTGTGGTAGGTCTGCCTCAAAATGAGAAATGTCTATTACTACGCGTAGTACCGTTTCTGAGAAGATTTATCTCCCCTTTCCCGAGATAACGTAGTTAAATGTTGCACCATTTCACTATTTTTTTTAAATTTGAAATTTTAAAAAACATATTTATAACATTGTCATATTACAGGTAGAAATGACATAACTATGGTCAAGCTTTCGACTTCCGGTTTAAGTGACTTTTTTTTTTTTTTAATATATATTTCTATTCAGTTTTTCAAAGCACATACACATGACAATATTTGGGAGACTATAACATACTTCACAGTACACTCATCCTAAACATTCTATACACATTTCATGTTAACCATACTCATTTCATATACCCAGTTTTCTAAGTATTGGGTCTGTAGAGAATATTGATCTGACTTACTGATCGTGTGTACTATCTTGATCATAACAGAGCATGCTAATTCATGACATATTTATTTCAAACATTTCATATATACTCATACACACCATAGATCTGTATAGAACATGCATATAAAATATGTCATACACTTGTACAGAACAGTTAAAAAAACCATACACATCATACATCCGTATAGAAACACTTATATTAAACATTTCATTCACACCATACAACTGTATGTAACATTCTTATTAAACATTTCATACACACCATGCATTTGTGCAGAAACATTCATACAACAGTATGGAACATTTATCTGTATAGAAACATTCAAAATCAAACATTTAATATACACCAGTTCTGTACAAAATATTCATCTCTATACATGATGTACATTTAAAGAAATGTATATGAATAGCTCTCACACTATCATTCAATATATTATACACAAGCAATTACCTTAGTATGATAGTATATGTTTATTAGCACATATGTTATCAATCTATCCAAAATGTCATTTCAAAACATTGGAATAAAAACTAATTATATTAGTCATGTGTTGTGGTTTTATTGAAAGAAAGAAATAGACGTACAGATAATTACTGGAAAAACAAAGACAGACAAAACAAAAGTAGACATGTGCACAGAGGCAAAGCCAAACAAGACACAGGCAAGAACTGCCAGATAAACAGACATACAAAGACAGACACACAGACATATACGCACAAAGACAATCGACACAGAGACAAGGACGACAGATTTGAGAGGGACAGGCCTTCCAAAAATCAAAAAGTTGAAGTTAAATCATCGACAATTGTTTTATTAGCAACAATTGCTCAAAGATAGTAATATCTATTCAAAACAAGTATAAAAGTTTTATATAAACCAACTGACAGTTTCAAGAGTCCATTAATTGATATGAATGGGTATAGATAAAGAAATCATTTCAATTAAAGTCAAAAGAAGTAAAACTTTTTTCCATTTTCCCTACTCTCTGTTAAAACTTTAAAGAGAAGCATCAACTTTAGCGGTTGCTATGCATTTTTGACATTGTGGTGGTCTTTCAATAAGTTGATAAGAGAATTTATGTTAAGTGTGGTTTCAAGACATCTAGTTTTGTAAATGTAATGTTTAATGATGATGTTAATTTCATTATCAATTTTACTGAACTCATTTCTAATTGACCAAATTGTTGTTCAAATATTATGTAAAATTCTAAACTGAAACCACTGAAGTTTTGAATCGTTTGTTTTTTTGAAAGGTAGAGAAAAAATATTTGCCCAATTAGAATTATCAAAGTCAAATTGATCTGCACTTTTTTTCCTGCCTGTTGGAATTTCATCATTCTTTGATAAGATTTTATATAAATATTTTGTTCCTGGAGTCTTATCAAAAAATTATTCTATGTTTAAAGGAATGAAAGGAAGTAGAAGTATTATATCCTGAATCCTTTGTGTATCCATAATTAATTTAACAGATTTGACAAGACTATGAAAGTGAAGGAAGTTTGTAAACATATTATATTTCTGTGTAAATTCATGGTAGGAATAGGAAGTAACAGGATTTGTATTTTTCAACATACCATTTATCACTCTAACCCCCTTAGCATACCAGTTATTGTAAAAGACAGAGTTTCCACCAATAGTTATATGTGGGTTATGCCATAAGGGGGTTTTCAGAATTGAGAGTTGTCTGCCCTTTGGAAAATCAGAATTTAATAATCTTTCCCAAGCTTTTAAAACATCACACCAAAACATATTTTTTGAGTGACATCTTCACACAAGTTCTGCTGAGCTTGTTCTATAGTGTGGATAGTTATGTTAGTGTTAATAGCTTCATGCATGACTGGTTATTTGTATCATCCGGATTAAAACAGGGATAATCCATCTTATTTTTTAAATGTACTTCAGGGAAAGGTGTGGGGGTTGATGAAGTAAGGATTGGGAATCTGTTCTACGCGGACGACCTTGAGACTATAGCAGAGAACGAGGATAACTTACAGTGTGCGTTGGATATCTTATCAGACTGATGCGGCACAAACAACATGGTGATTAATGGGAGCAAAACAAAAATTATTCACTCCCGTAAAAAAAAGGAAGTCTCAAATGAATTTCAGGTGTGGAGACCTGGAGATTGATCACTCTGACAGATACCAGTATCCGGGACTAGTTTTGTCTCAACATGTGGACTACGCAATTACTGCTAGATTTGCGAAGAGAGAATTATGTTATCTAAATTTAAATCCATTGCAGGGTGGGTTCCTATATGATTTGTATTGTAAGCTTTATGCCACTATGTTGACAACTATTTGAGATATGGAGCCGCTATTTGGGGAACACATGCCTATGCATGCATTAACGACGTCAAAAATAGGGTTGTCGGTTCTTCTTGGAGTCGTCAAGTATACGCCTACAGCGGCAGTAAACTTCAAAATTACATGGAAACCACGCTACAGTTGGCAATGGAAGGCGGTCATTTCTTCAATTTGGCATCGACTCGAGTACATGGACACAGCACGTATGAACAACCGTATTTATAGGTGTCGTAAGCGTTTGAAAGGAAAGGGTTGTAAAAACTGGTATTGATAAAAATGCTTTATAGTTTAAACTTGTCTAATAGTATAGGTGGTGAACTTAAATACAAATACATTAATTGTAATACATAGGGAGAAGCTATGTCTAGTAAACGAGAGAAAATGGCTACAAACTAATCGTGGAATTGGAAGAAATATTCTCCATATATACACATGTGAACCCGTTGTAAAAGAGCTACGGCGAATTTAAGTGTGGGGTTGAGTTGTCCCATTCCGTATACAGAGTGGTAGACATGAAACCCTTTCTGTGGAACAAAGTAGTTACAGAACATTCGATGATATATTTTCTTTGCAAAGAACTGTACTGAAAGCACTGAACGTGGAAATTATATACGATTGCTGTTACCTCATATAACATTTAAATGGTTGGTGTCATGGTTCGAAATTACGAGTCAAACATCTGATTTTGGAAAATAATAAAGCAGGTGCACCTTCATAGACATAAATCTGTTAAGTTGAGCTAAATAATGAAAGCACGAAACTGTTGGAAAAAGGAAACATACTTTAAAAGAATGAGTTATTGAACCAACAGAGCAAGTTCTAAATTGACCGTGAGCGTTTGCCACATAGTAGTATCGACACTTCCTAAGATAATACATTTCATTGGATGCCCTGTCCTTATCTCAGGTCAAGGACAGACGTCCTTAAAAGTGGGTCACAAAACCATCTCTGTTGTGACCAGTCAATATGGCGCCATCAAATTACAGTCCAATCCTTAGCGGTATGTATATACTAACATCTGACAAAACAATTTTAGTTTAAAGCATTTATACGTACAAAAAACGGAGTAATCCTAATTGTGTCGTTTCTATCTGTGCAACACCTGTAAAATCAATTATGTAAAATGAAATAAAAACTAGGTATGTGTTTATAATAATGCTGTGTATACAAAGATACAATAAAGTATAAAATACAAAAATATTTAATAACCAAAAGAGATTATTTAAAATAATATTGCTTGCGATTTTTCCGGAAAGAAGAAGAAAACAACAACAGCAACAACTTGATGAATTGTATTTGATATCAGTGTTAGAGATAGATAATTACACAAAAACATCAGAAATAAGGAAATATTCTTTTGAGTACGTCGATATATATTCGAACATTACGTCAGTATGTATAAACGGCATATCAATGGTTTATTCCTTTCTGCGTAAAAACTATTTATATGTAACTATTATATTTTACTAAGATCCATTTATTTTATTTGCAGTATTGTCGATGGTGTTGCTGTTTGGTGGAGTATTTTCAAGTAAGTTTGTTTTCCGTGACTTTCTCCAATATTTCTACAAGATTTAAAACAATCAATCATAAATGGTGAAATGTTATGCTTGTTAGAGAAAGAAATTAATTTACCAGAGATCGATGTCATTATACAGTAAACGTTTTCTCTCTCTCTCTCTCTCTCTCTCTCTCTCTCTCTCTCTCTCTCTCTCTCTCTCTGCAAATTTGGCACTTATGTTGATACATTAGCCTTGTGTTCATATCCTATTTCTCTTTGATATAAACAGACCAAAATTCTGTCAATAACAAACACAAACTAGCAGTAGAAGATTGTTCCACATTATTGCCGCATCTCAAGCACCTTTTAGAACTAAAGAACACACTCAAACCCATCCAAATCTAATCTGATGCGACTATTGTGAGTTTGTCTGCATGTATGAATTAACTGGATACATTTCTAATAAGCTTGTGTGTTTCTGTATATTTTTTTCTCTTTGACTGTATCACTTATCTCCGATGTAAACGAATGAAGGTATGGATCATAACAAGTATAAATGTAATTTGCTGACCTTTTATCGAGCTTTGAAAATATTCACAGGTTCGTAGAAATGCACCAATGAAGTATACAGTATCCAATGAAGTACATTTCATGACCAGTAGCGCAATGAATACGCTTCTTCTTTTATAGTGAAGATGCCCTTTGGTAATGTTCCCCGTAGCAGCAAAAACATAATCAAGGAAACTACAAAAAAAAATCATAACTCTTTCCTCAAGCAAGTCGGGAAGATATTTTCAGTAATACGACCAAATTACAAATCTCCTCGGAGATACAACACAGGGAACTGTGGAATTAATGGAATAAATCACGAATAATCATGAGTTTCACGCATATCCACAGCAATTGTAAAATATATGTAACTCTGTTCAGACAATGGAACAGTAGTCATGTGACAGTCATATGATGTTAAACTATTATCTCGTAAGATTTAGGACACACATCGAATCAAACTGTTTATCTATACTGCATCGTCCTACTTTGATGTAAATATCAATGGAATAACAATTTATTGATATATATATCTGTATATACTTATTAGTATTATATATATATATAATATTTGGCTGGGGGAAATAAAATATTACCCCCCCCCCAAAAAAAAAACACCCCAAGGATTGCTATTTGTTATATAAGTCTATTAAGGTGACAAAATACTTTACTGTACACCTAACATACAATGTAAATCCGTTGAGTGGTTTATTCACAATAATGCACACAGATATTTGGTATATACTGTTCAACACCTAAGGTGATTCTGTTTTTCTTTTTTATTGGATGTATATAGAAAAACAGCACTCATAGGTGCATATTTTATTAATATTTCTTCATTTCGAGTAAAAAAACAACATATTTGCACAAAACACATTATTGGCTGCAACTTCATTGCCAAGCATCTTCAATCAATCAATAGTTAATATGACATATACCGCGCCAAACATTGCGGTATACGAAGTAATCACTCTCTGTGTTGTCTTCATTTTTATACTATAGGGAAAATATCGTGAAAAAGTTTATCATTGGGGGAATAGAATAGCAAAAACTATTTTTTCATGTCTGGTTTTGACATATTATCTTCTTTTACTGTTTTGTAGATGGTAAAGTGTGTTACGAGTGTAATAATATGTCACATCCGCGGGACTGTACCAATGTAGTAGAGTGTGATCCACATCAGGTAAGTACTCCAAAATCTACGTCTCTGTATATGTGAACAGTCAGATTAATGTAGTAATTTGATTAATGTTTCACAGGGATCAAATTATGTTATAGGTGATAGCGAAGTTGACCAGTCAGATATCTGGCCCTTTTTCTGCATTAGAACTCTGCTGTTCGTGGCGTTATCATTAGCATTGAAGCAGATTTACAGAGTAAGATGTTTTAGTGACATATTTTGATATCTCTCACGTAACGCTACAATTATCAATGCAAAAGTGTTATTAACAAGTATAAAGCTGAGCACAAGGTTTTCTTTTAGATCAGTTGTCTTTTTTCGTTTAGTTTTTGCTGGTTTTTTATGTCTTTTAAATTTGTTTTATTTTGTTTTCCAAAAGAAAATTATGTTTGCAAAAAGAGCTGATTTTAATAAGTAAAACGTGATTTGTGATGAAAATGCATTTTTAATTATCCTTAGATTTCGATAGGGTCCAAGATTTTGACTATTTAACAATTTCTTTCGAACTATTGAATGTAATGAATTTTTCAACACTTGTTCACCAACACAAACGATTACAACCAGAGGCTGCAGAGACAATGTTATCATATAGAAATTTTAAATAAAGTTAAACTTTCCTCTCAATTCGCGAGAAATACTGTCTGATGTTGTTTTACTAAACGGTTTAAGCAGCACATGTAAATATTGATGGCTCAATGTCCAAGTTTGTTTTGTCTTACATACATTTATAACATGTTCACTTTGATGATTAAATTCACAAGATAAGGTTTTACAGCAATGAATCGAATGTTGATAAGTTTGATAATACCGTTTGCATAAAGACATATCAACTAGAATGATAGAAGGTCAAAGGTCACTATATAATTTGGTTTTATGATGTTAGCGTTTGTTGTGCCGAAGTCATGTTTAGGCCAAATACAAATATAGATGTGTTTCCTGTTTCCCGACCGACCCTATTGTTTCATGCCGACCCTATTACATTAAACTAAAATGGTTTTCCTACCCACCTGCACTATTTTGTTGGAGCCGAAACAGGACACACGCATATATTTTTATTTGGCCTTATCTTTCATTTGTAAACATTCAGCCAAGTAATTTAATCTCATTTTCTAACTGAAGGTAATAAGATAAGGGTAATAAAGACTTATTGATATTCTTAAATTATTTAAAATTAGACAAACAAGCATTATCGTGTAGCTTTATTCACAAGGACTATACTGTTTTGATTGTACAAATATAAGATATCGCATTCCGTGAGCAAGAGAATGATTCCACAGTTTGCTTCATGCCATTAAGGATACTTTTATGCCGCCTTACACGTAATACATGTGATTTGTGTGAAAATTAAGGATATGTGCTACTTAACACATTTATCTGTAATTAGTGCGTAGTGTTAAGACGTATGGTATCCAAATCTTTTTTTACTTGTGATTGGTATTTGAATTACGGATTACTCCTACCTCGTTTGATTTGATATTCTTTTGAAAAGGTCATGCATGTCCCTTTTGGACCTTATGTATATTTACGGATATTGCATTACACGTCAATGTTTTGTAGGTTTTCAAAGTATAACTTACATGTACTTCAGTTCGTGGAAGTTACTGATCAATAATTCAGTAACGCAATTTACTTTCGTTAGCCATAATGTAAGTTATGTTTCTTGAGTTGACATCAAGTAGGTAGGTGTAATTTGCCTTGATTTGAATTAAGTGTATATAATTTACCTTCGTTCAGGTGTTTGTAGTGTACCTTGGTTCTCGTTCAGAAATATTTTTAATTAAAACATTATACATTATAGTGATCTTTATAATAACATATCCTTAATCTAGGGTGCTTTTTTAAAGATACATTTTTTCATTCAATATCAACAGACAACATATATTGTAAGTCACCTTTATTTACTTTTAGGAATGTACAAATTTCCCTGTTTTGACTTCATGTATGTTTAATTTACCTTATTATACCTTTAGGAATGTACAAATTACCTTTCTGTGACTACATCATGACTCACATATGAATGATTGGCCTTGTTTTACTTTACAATATGTATCATTTGTCTTGCTTTACTTTAACATATGCATAATTTACCTTGATATATACTCACATATGTACAACTTGTCTTGCTTTACTTTACATGTAACTGTTCTGTTTCACTGTGTCTTGAAAAAGGAGCGGATCGCCCCGAAAATTTGACAACTGAAACTTGTCCACACTGTTGGAATTACTTCTTTGCCCCATATAATTTACCTTGATATATACTCACATATGTACAATTTATCTTGCTTTACTTTAATATATGTATGATATACCTTGATATATACTCGCATATGTACAATTTGTTTTGCTTAACTTTAATATACATGTATGTATAATTTACATTAATATACTTGCAGGTGTGTTACGTTGATAAGTATGTGACGAGACACTCCCACGTCTATTATAACTCAGGCTGCTTATCATATAACGTAAGTGTCGACGACACAATTATTAAGAGGTCAGGCGGATATGAAATTATCATAAAACATAGTGAGACAAACACTTACAGGCGAGCGACACCATTCTCAGACAGAAAGAATATATTTTTTAATCACCACAAACAGCATTGTTTCTTGATACTTTATTCCCGAAACGTAATCTTACAATTGCCGGGGACGGACCTTGAGATAAATACCCGCATTATCAAATTTTGCTTTCGTGCAATATCCGTCCTTTTCATTCAGTTCAACGGTTTCTTGATGAACAATACATAGAGGATCTTACATGAGTGTCCATGTTATATCAAATTATTGAACGAGTTTAATAAATTCAATATGACATGGACACGTATGTAAGGTTCTATTTATCCCACAAAATTCATAATTTTAAAAGTAACTTTTATGTGTAGTAACACTACGTAAGTAACACTAAATAACACAATTATTTGTTATCGGTTGACTCTTTAAAGGTCAAAAACAAAGTACTCCGATCATGAAATTGTCTTACCACGCAGTGCAAAGTAGTTCCAGATTATCTTTTTATAAATGCAATGAAAATAATAATGACAAAATAGACATTTCCAATTCATTTAATAGCAAAAACATTAAACTTTATCAGAAAACCCCCAGTTAATAAAGTTCGAAATTTTGTAGTGGCGTAGGAATATGTTCCCACGATTTTGACCTATCTCAGTACCTTTAAGTTATTACACTTGTGTAATACCATATTTATGCATGGCCGTATGACAAAGTAAAATGGGTCAGTTATGTGATAAATAGTTATATTTCACGATTGCCCTGTTTACTGTCAAATATCGGATGTAGACGTTAAGTGAATGTAACACAATACATCTCCAGCACACACACAGGCATAGACACATAGGGAGATATTAGCCAGGTGGCATAGGACTAGTAGTTAGCGCCTGATAAGGCAGCTCCTGCGAATTCCTCAATATTGTATTGATTAATATATATGCTAATCGCAATTGTATATCTATGTACTGTAAAGCGCTTTAGAGTGGCTTATGTTAGCTATAAAGGGCGCTATATCAAATGTTGTATATATCTATATTTAATGTATTGTAGGAGCGACGCCTTACCATTGTTATAACTGGGGAATCCCCTTGTCTTAACACTTTGGTGAGACAATGATATCACCCGCATACATATATTGGATACACCTGTCCTGGATAAAAGGATAATATGATATATTTCCTTTTGGGATTGAGATAGGGGGCTTCCCAAGGGGAAAGATAATTAAGATTCTGAGGATTGCCAAGTGTTGGACAATATATATAAGTCTAATTCGTTCAGGGTTCTCACCCGTCATATTCACTGCAAGGGTGTAAAACGTTCGTTTCACTGATTCTGCTGCAAAATGTTATGTACATTACCTTCCGGTGTCTATGAATTGCTAGTGTGACGTCATCCGATTAACATTAAAGGGAATTCCCACATCTAAAACCTAGGGTGAGACTAATATGAATTGTTTCTCAGTAGAGAACATAACAGAGAAATCTCCAACCAAAGGGATGAGCATTTTGGTATTCTAACTCCAGGTTCTGGATAAATGTCAAAATACACTTTTGTTTTTTCTTCATTCCTTTCATATTTTGAAACTTGATACGTATGTTATTTACAAAACCCTTTACTATTGTGTGTTCATTTTTGAATTCACAATGTCATTTTTCAACTTTTTCTAAAAATGTCTGGTTAGTGATTGCAGGAAAGATTCAATAATGATAATGTGTGTTTGCTTATTCGGGGTAGGGAACGCTACCATCAGGATCGATTTCCCATATCCCGTAGAACCACTTATTGTACATTAACTCATTAAACCCTGAAATTCATAATGAACTATTCCAACCATTGAATTAGAAGAGTTAAAATATGTCTTCAGTGGTGAATGAGTTACACTAATTCATTTCTTCATTGACAGTGTTGAATAAATATCGAAATCAATCTTAATCAAAATGCCTTTTTGTAGAGTTGCTACAGCAATCACGGACACCGGGAATCAGAACTGACGGCAAACACCGAAGTTGACGTCACTGCTACAGGCCTTAGAAGAAATAATCCAGGCGGTTATCTCAATTGTTCATCCTGCTGTAATCACGACTTTTGTAACACTAATTTGTGTGAAACTCAAAAAGGTACATTTTACATCTTATACGTAGAATATGTTAAGTTCAGTATTGCACAGTTTATTGACTCATTTACCACGTGGAATCCATAATGAACTATTCGAACCTTTGAACAGGAGGAGTTCAAATATGTCTTCAGTGGTGAATGAGATTACTTCTCTAGCGTCAGACTTGTAGCAGCTAAAAAAATATAAAATAAGTAATGTATCAACGGCGTATCCGTTTGCGTGTTTTAAAAGTAATTTGTGCATAACATCCATCTTCAAAGATTTTTCTTCGATTCCAAAATCCGAGAAATATACATAAAATATGTACGAAAAAATATATTGCCAGATTGCTCTACAAGCGCATATAATTTGGTATTTTCAATATTTTGAAAGTCTAAAAGTCACAACAGAAACCAAAAAAGAGAGAGAATAAATGCTTAGTTCCATACTTTATGGTTAAGTATGTTCTTTTTCATGTAAATCAGTAAGAAAATATACCAAGATACTGTATACAGCTTTGAGTTGACATGAGTTTTTATTATAAGTTAAAGAGATTTAATTGTGTTGTTCAATAGATGTAGTGAACGTAAAGCTAAGACCTTTGTATTAAACAGTGGACGATTATATATATCAATATATGTAAATAATATTAATATTTGTAGTGAATTCAACGAGGAAGCGATGCATGTCATGTGACAGCGTTGAGCATCCGAGTGACTGCCAGACAGTGCGAGGATGTGATGAAGACGAGGTAAGTGGACGTGTCCTGTACTCAAAGGGCGTGGTCAGAAGAGAAGTTCGCGAACATCTGAACGTGCCGACGTGAATTTTTTGTTTTGTTTTACCGTCAACTTATGTGGTTGGAAAGTGGCCTTAACTTCATGAAAGAAACAAGAAACTACTTCCAATTTAAAACGACTTTGGTTGAGGGAATTATATATATGTGCGTCCGTTCGCCTGTCACACGAAATAAATAATTCTGACACTCAAAAGTTCTAAGGCGTAAGAGTTGAATAGGATTTAAGACTTGAAAAGTTCACACAAGGTCACAAGCTCAAGGTTAGCATGTTGAAATTTGTTAACATTGTAAGGCTGAACGTCGAAAAATCACTTACATTATGTATTTACAAAATTTATCAAAACATCACCACAATTAATTTAACTATTACCTATAGGATCGAATGTTATATATTATAGATTGAACATATTTGTTACCGATCGGGAACAAGGGAAAATCTTATAAAAACAACATGAGAATACCGAAGAGTCGCAAAGAGTAATTTGAACTCGAAATCGATAAAACTAGTGCAGAAAATGAACAAAGAAAAGGTTTACATGCAGTACACGAGGAAGAAAAACCAGATGTTCGGAAAGGGTAAGCGTCTTCTGTTTTATCGACGACATCCGCCATGTTAATCTAGGTCAATACTTTAAAACGATAGAGCCCCAAAAATATTAGCCATACAGAATACAACAACATCTAAAATGAGAAAAGTAAGATAACATTATGCATAAATATGTTCATTATACTGCTCATGTCTGTAGTAATATTGTAATGAGGAGTTCAATTCGATCTTTATGATTTTTTTTATGAAAATGTGAAGTTTTTTTTAGTTATTCGCGATTAAAATGAAACATTTATCTGTTATGGAAAGTACATCATACCCATAATATATCAAAAATTAACAACGGTATTGTGTAGTTGACTTCATGATCGCCTTAATGTGATGTATTTGAATCCTTCTCTTTCAATTTTTTTTGTGCTTTCACTGAAAAAAATCAAAAGCCAGTTCTACCGTTGCCGTTTTCTTCTAAATGTTTCGAAGGTCACATACACTATGGCCATGTCCTTCTGTTCGTCCCAATGTTATGTATTGTGAATAAACCATGTGCCTGATAGGCCGTAAATACCATGTGATCCTTGTAGAGGTTATCGGGATTTAACCCAGGTACAACTCACACTTCATGTGAAGTTCAACAGACATTTATTCAATCACGTCATGTACATGCGCAATAGCATCATTTGCAATAGTAGGGTTACATGCACACTCAGTTCTTTCATTAAGGCTTCCCAACCTATATGTATACACTACAACCCTCCTTCATGTAGGACTGAAATCAAATTTCTTGAATTATCATGCAATTCCCTTAATCCACAGAATCTGACTAGAAACTATGAAGAATATTTCAATTGTGTGCAAACATTCTCTTTGACTAGTAACAGGCAGAACACTTAACTCTTGAACTAACAATAAAGTTTAATTTCAAACCATTTTCTTTTTGTGTTTCACAATGTAAGATTCAACCAACCACACAATCATCATACTTGCTTGGCATCTTTCGATTGGATCTCTCTGGACGTCCAAAGTCGACAATTGTCGGCTTATCACACATTCCATCTGGGCTTTGACCTTGACACTGACCAGTATCTGACAGAGGGTCAGCATCAACATTCACTTCCTGATTCTTACAACCTTCACATTCTTTTGCAGGAGAGTTTGGAACATGAAACTTTTTTTTTAAATGTATCACATTCCGTTTGTACACTTTCCCTTCACCTGACTCGACAACAACACTGTTCCCTGACTTTTCTAGCACTTGGAACGGCTCGTATTGAAATGTTGTAGAAAACTTGTTCTGATGATCTTGCTTAAAAAGCACTTTATCTCCCTGATTGATATCACATGCACCACGTCTTTTATCAGCATACATTTTCCATTTTTCTTTCCTCTCACTATCCCTATCACAAACTTTCAAGTCGTCTGGGCTAAATCTACTAAACTCATGAAGCTTAGTACGGAGTTTTCGATACAAAAACTCAGCGGAACTAACACCTGTGGTGTTATGTGGAGTATTGCGATACATCAATTAGTCTGTACCTAGGTCATCTTTCCATGACCTCCCCTCTGCGTGAGCAATACGAATTCGTTTCATTATTTACCTGTCGCTCGACCTCGCCATTGGCCTGAGACCACAATGGGTTAGTTTTGCGATGCTCTATGCCTAGCTCGGCGAGGTATTTAGGAAAATGCTCACTTACAAACTGAGGTCCATTATCTGTTTGAATTGAATCCGGCAAACCGTGGGTCAGGAAAATGTTGTTAAGTATATGAGTAATTTTATCAGCAGTAGTTACCTTCGTGGTCCCAACTTCAAACCACCGACTGTAATAATCAACGAGGACGAATATGTATTCGCCCGTTGGCAATGGTCCAAGAACATCACCCGCTAAATGTTGCCACGGAGACGACGGAAATTCTCGTCGTTTCATAGGTTCTGGTCGCGACGCTTGATCGACCAACTGACAACCGTAACACTGCCTAGAGTGTTGTTCTGCTTCACGATCTATCCCTGGCCACCTGACCTAACTCATGAGTCTAGCTTTCATTGCCACAATACCAGGATGCCCCTCATGAGCTAGCTCCAAGACTCGGTTACGAATTCTCTATGGGTATTACTAGTTTATTACCACGGAGAACTATTCTACCGATCGCGCATAATTCACCACGAACTGGCAGATATTCTTTAAACTCGGTTTTCTGCCACTGACCATTTAGTAAACACTTCCTAATATAGCAAAGTTCCGAGTCGTCATCCGACTCTCGTTCCACCTCTCGGGTAGTCATGGCAACCGGTGTCGCCTGATCTGCAACGAAACGGATTTTCCTGTCATCGTCTACTTGGTCGTTGTCTTTCACTTTATCAGACTTTTTCATTAGACGCGACAACGAATCTGCAATGTTTCGCGACCCTGGGATATATTTCACTTTGTAGCAATATGGCTGAAGTCTGAGAACCCATCTCTCTATACGTGCACAAGGTGTCGCGCTCGGTGAGTTGAAGGACTCAAATAGTTTATGATATATCAGGAGTTCGAACTCCATCCCATACAGATATCAATGGAAACTCTCACATGCCCATATAATGCCTAATGCTTCCTTTTCTATCTGGGAGTACCGACGCTCTGTATCACTGAGACTACGACTCCCGTAACACACGACTCTGTAATCATTATCCTGTTTTTGTACCAAAACAGCCCCGAGAACTACTGGGCTGGCATCTGTAATGACTTGAGTAGGCGCATTTTTGTCAAAATATGCTAGAATATCCGCATTCGCTAAGTGCTTCTTCAAACCATCAAAAGCACGTTGCTGTTCGATTCCCCAAACCAACGGCTAATCTTTTCGCGTCAACTTCCGGAGTGGCGCTGCTAGAGTAGCAGGATGAGATATAAGCCGTGCACTAAAATTTACCAGTCCTAAAAATCTACGCACTTCACTGGCTGTTTTAGGCTCACTCACACGTTTCTGACACAGCTTGCACTTTCACATCTGCTAGACCTATGCCTTTATCTGATAAGACATGTTCCATGAACACGAGCTTGCTCATACTGAACTCGCACTTCTGACTATTCAAAGTCATGGCTGACTCTCTCAGAACATTTATTACTTTCTCAAGCCTTCTGGCATGCTCTTCGAACCTTGAGTCATGAACTATGACATCATCGATAATATTCTGGACACCCTCAAATCCATGCAATACTTGCTGAAGTATTTTCTGGTACATCTCTGGCGCACAACATATGCCAAACATCAACCTTTTGTATCTGTTCAACCCGTTATGAGTTACAAATTGGGTAATGTCCCTTGATTTTTCTGAAAGCGCTATTTGGTGATATGCCCATGTAATATCAATCTTGCTAAAATATTTGCTATTGTTCATGTCCTGGAACACCTCGTCCACAGTGGGTGACGCTCACGGAGAACAGCATCATTGGCTCGTCTCATATCCACACACAATCGAATGTCATTATCTCCCTTGGGAACGACGACAACTGGTGACACCCATAATGTCGGCCCCTTAGCATTTTCAATAACATCGAGGCTTTCAAGTTCATCAAGTTTTTTTCCAAGTTTGTCCCTCAAGTTGAATGGAACGCGCCTCAACTGTTGTGCCACAGGAGTGACATCTGGTTTTAACGGAATGTCCAGTTCAAAGTTTTTGAACTTGTCCAGTCCCTTAAAACAATTTGGGAACCTGTTCATCATGGTCTCCTTTAGGTCACGCCCTGTATGTTGGGTCTGATTCTAGGCTTATTCTATTTACTCTAGAACCCAATCGTAGGATATCGAGCTTCAAAGTTGTCTCTTTGCCTAGTAGAGATTTCCCTTTTCCCTCAACCACTAGAAATTCCACTTTGTCCACCTTTTTACTACCACACGAGACTGTAGCGATGAAAGTTCAAGCCACATTCAATGATACCTTACTGCCATATCAAAATAACTGTTTTCCTCTTCGAACTGACTCACGTTCCACGGAGTTGTCCTTTAGGTATTCCCAGGTGGGCATGTCCAACACATTTACTGTTGCCCCAGAGTCTATGAGAACTGACAATTTCCGACTCCCACACCAATGTTAATAATACTGTTCTCAGCATTATTTTGGTCATAAGTACTACAGGTAAATGCACACAAGCTGTCGTGGTCCTGGTCCCGTTGTAATTGACGTACTACAGGTTTTGATTTCTTCGATTTACATGTACGCTCAAAATGTCCGATCGACTTACATTTTCTACATTACTTCCCAATAGCTAAACTTGCAGGATCTTTTGCTTTGTGTCCTTCCCGACCATAGTTGAAACAAGTGATTTTCTGACCATGATAATTCTTTTAACTGTGTGAGGCTGGCTTACGTTTGTATTTTGTATCACGTGTTGACAGTTTATTTACCTCCTTCTCGTGAACTGACATCCCATTCCCTTCAATGGATCGAGCTTGTTTCTCAGATTCCTCCATTGCACGAGCTATATCTCTTAACTGATTAAGTGAGAGTTATCTCCCCCTTCTCCAGTAATTTGCGGCTAAGATTATGAGAGGCACACTTTTCAATAACTTGGTCCCGAATTTGTTCATTAACAGAAGCTAAGTTCCCGAATTCACATCTTTCTAACCCCTTGCAGGTAGGGCGTAATAATTGTACCTGCTGCCCCCAATTGCATGATCGTAATAGGCGACTAAATTTGGGACCTTATCTCTTCTCTCCTTTCTAGATAACTTTCTTCTTCCTAATGTCTCCCTTGACAATGCCTCACTTCTGGCCATTTGTTGAGCGTTCGCTTCTGTGAGGAAGGCTTTGGGTTCTGTCCCCTGGCCGAGACATACAAAAGTCTTTAAACATGGTAGTTTCTACTCCTGCTTAACGCTCAGCAAATTAGGAGTGGGACGACTGGTTCGCCCGTTGTCAGTATAATGTGACCGGGTGGGTCGTCCTGCTGGGTGTCAGTATGTTTCAGTCAGGTAGCACTATAAAGTTGGCATCAGTTACGCGCTATCACAAGGAGACAAACACGAACATATCGCAGCCTCCCAAAATACACACACATACAATACACGCATGCATCTTGCACACAGGGGAGGCCGTCCTAAAATGACCTTAGCTGTTAATAGGACGTTAAACAAAATCAAACAATCAAACAAACAAATCTTTCCGATTTCTGACGTAGTCTTGTAATGAATTGTTCGACAGCTTCATCATGTGTCAAAACACGTGTCTCTCGTAGGATAAATTTGCCTGGGGGTGAAATATCTATTTAACGCACTTACTGTCTTAGCGGAAACATCTTCTCCATCTCCTTCCGGTAAGGTAAAGAAAATGTCCTGAACACTAATACCAACGGAGTGTAGTAATGCGGCTCTCTTCTGTGCGGGATCCTTTACCCCTTTCTCATCAGAATACAACGTGAACGCACGTAGCCAAAACGTAGAAGTTATCGGGATTTAATCCAGGTCCAACTCACACACCATGTGAAGTTCAACCGCCATTTATTCAATCACGTCATTTACATGCGCAATAGCATCATATGAAATATTAAGGATACATGCACACTTCGTTCTTTCATTAAAGCTTCCCAACCTATATGTATACACTACAACCCTGTGGACTCTTATTGTTTTATTGACCGTTTAATCATTATGATTTATTGTGTGTTGGAACGTTAAGACTACTGATTGATATTATTTAGTTTATAATTTGATTATATAAATTGTATATTTATTTATTGCAAAGCGCCTGAAAGTGGATTAATCTAGCAATTTATATCAAATAGTATATAAAAACGTTATAAATAGGATAAAATTTCACATTATCATAAGCGTAATTCTTTTAATTAAAAAACCCAGTAAATATGTTTGTATTATGTTCATTAGTGTGTCTTGTTTTTGTCCTTGTGATAACCCCAGTTCTGGCTTTGAGGACGTAACATCACTTTGATTTGACCTTGATTTTCATTCAGGGTTTTCAATGTGAATCAGGAAACGAAACCCTTCCAGAACATCTGCTCATATTATCCTTGCACTTCCCTTGGTCTGAGTATTAAACTTTCTTTTGATTTTATTTTGCCCTCTTTATCAACAGTTTCGGTATTATCTTGTTATGAAAAAAAGTTGATGACTTAATTACACAAACTTGTATTTAACATCTTTAAGTTCCGCAATGTTTTGTAGATGTGCTATACGGTATATTACCTCCACACGTTTGGCGAAAAACGATTTCGACTCGGATGTATGAGAAACAATGTAAGTACAAAATCAAAGGCCAATATTCCAATGGATAATTCAGAGTAAATATATATAATATGAATGATATAATTAAGGAATAATTATTTTCTATTCAAATACAAGTAGATCCTACACACATTCCCAAAAACGAGTCAAGCATACCTATTTTGTATTGACATTTATATATATTTCTATTTAAAGTCATACATAATATTCTCTTTACCTTTTACAAGATATCCTTAAGTGTAACGCATGCATGTAATGACTCCAAGTAGCGATGCATAATATATGTTTTTTAAACGGTTTATGCTGTTTCCGAGGGCTATACAACCATAATATATTAATTCAGTTCCTGAGGGCTATCAATTTCAATAAATTTTATTGTCAAAGGACAAATGGATTGGGCAGCAGGCATAGGCTATTTAAGCCCTTTCCAAACATAGTAACAAACAGTGGTATACTCATAGACATAGACATTAGAACACATACAAACACATATAAACAAATTGGGATTCGAAACCCTCGTTATATATTCCACCATAATGCACGCACATATGTTGATTATTTCTTAAATATAAATATTATGAAAAGAAAAGAAAAATATTTGTTGATGGAGCTGCATGTATAAACATTTATATAGGATTAAATTACCGCACCCAACAGATACAGGCTAAACAGCCGTATCACACGAATACCGATTAGCAAAGACACTTGGCTATCCGGTATATATTCATATCAATGGTATCGCTTAACATAATTAACGTTATGTTTGGTAGTTTCGAAGATACATTGTTTGTTTAATTAAATACAATTTAATCTAACCTTTTATCAAGTGAAGACAATTCGGATTTCTTACCTCTTGTTGATTTGAGTGGGTTTTTTTCAAATGAAACGCAGATCTGTGAAAATTGTTTTGCATGAATTTGAATCGCTTATTTTAAAGGGCTATGTTGAGCAATTAAGTATTTTATAAATGTTTTCATATGTTTTTCCGATTCTAGTTAACTCTGTAATACCTGGCAAACTATTTTGTTTTCTTCAAAACATTCGTTTTCATTTGGAATACTATTGTCGGTGCTTTTGGCAATGATTGCTTTTTAATCATTATGATATTCATCAGTTTCATGATTCGATAATTCTAGCATCATAATGTAACAGACTTATAGAAACATTGCTGAAAGTGTAAAAGAAATACAATTCCGAAATGACAATTATCATTTCGGTCAGCTGATCTCCATTGTTATGTTCTGTTTCTAATTACAATAGATATGCAATCAGGGTGGAGCAATTCACATTGGCGAGACACAATTCTGTTCGAAATGTTGCACAGGTGAAAACTGTAACAGAGAATTATGTAAAGGTGAGTTTTAAGTTTGTGGAACTCGTCATATAAATCGGTTGAAATGAATGAAGTTATATCAATCTGCGTAAACTATCATATTGTTTAAAATAATTTTATATGTTTAACTATTATGTTATGTAAAATACATTTACATGTTTAATTGTAAATTATAATGTCGGAAGTTCTGTGCGAGCGTCTCTTATATTTTGTCGAAATTAAATCATATTAATCTGTGTTCATCAAATGTACATAAATCGGTATTTATCTTCTACAATATGTGACTAAAACTATCTGTAAATGTTTAATTTTGTCTCAGGGTACTTAGGTTCACTAAATAAATAATTATTACCCCAGTATAGCACGATTCGCTTGCAGTATTGTTACCCATTAAAAAGATGTACAATGCAACCACTACTTCCTCTGTCGCCTCTGCAGCTTGAACAAAATCATGCAGCTTTGAATGCAGAAAAAAAGCTTGCCTTTCTGATTGGTTGAACCATATATCATAACATGTAACGATACTACATTTCTTATATGTTCACTGCATGGAAGATGTTATTTAATCGATTTTTTTCCCTATTGCATTGGTAAAACTCTTATATCATTGTAACTGTTTTGTGGTATCATATCATATACAGACCATGCAATTATCCATCGTAAAACACATTTCGTTTGACTTTAATGTTAAAAGTTATGGAATTTATATATATTTCCATGTACTCGAATAATTACTACTTGGAATGTGAATACATGCTTTTAGTTATGCTATTGTGTCTGCTATGGATGTTTCAGATGCAGCCACACCTCCCCCGATCACTACGCCAGTTGTAGCATGGTATTGTGAAGCATGGTGAAATGAAGCGCGGTTCATATTATGGTAATATGGTGAAATAAAGGGTCCTGCCCCATCCCGATTTTCCCTATCCTAGACTTAACTTTTGTGATTTTAATATTCAGGACATCAAACTAATATAATGTAAAACAGATTTGTTTTAAAAAAGTCAAATAGAAAGAAAAATGCTAAAACCCTTCATTTCACTATTATGGTAAAGTTAAGCGCCCCTCTCCTACCCTAATTTTTTCTTCCCCTGACTTAATTTTTGTCATTTCACATAGAATACATCAAATTGAAGTAACCTTAAAGAAAATGAATGGAAAAAGTTGTCAGAATAGAAATCGTTGGAACCCTTCATTTCACCATGGGGCGGTTCATTTCAACATGCCCCTTATATTACCATACTACACAGGTACCACTGCGCTTGTCCGTGAGGACAATCCTAATCGTCCTTGTATTCCGTGTTCAGGATTTTTTGTATGAAATCGTGTTGATTGTATGGTAAATATGTTTTCCCACTTTGTCGTAGGTAAACAATACTGTGAGATAGCGTATATTCTTTCTCGTATTTCAATCAAGTATATAAACACATGTCAAATATAGAGTAATACCTCGTTAGAATTCCATAATAATTATTAACAGAATAATTTCGAGGTAAAAGACTCATTTTTGGTTCAGAAACGCTTTATTTGAGTACGATGCATGTTGTCTGTGCAAATCATGCAGCTTTGAATGCAGAAAAAAACCCATACTTTCTGATTGGTTGATTTTGAACCATATATCATAACATGTGACGATACTACATTTCTTATAGCTTCACTGCGTTTGATTTCTTTTTCATACTGCGTTTGTAAGACTCTTATATAATTGTAAATATTTTGTGGTATCATATCATATACAGACCATGTTATTACCAATCTTAAAACACATTTCTTTTTACTTTAATGTAAACAGCTATGGAATTTATATATATTTCCATGCACTCGAATAATTACTACTTGGAATGTGAATACATGCTTTTAGTTATGCTATTGTGTCTGGTATGGATGTTTCAGATGCAGCCACACCTCCCCCGATCACTACGCCCGGTACCACTACGCTTGTCTGTGAGGACGATCCTAATCGTCCTTGTATTCCTAGTCTTTTACCGACTATCTGTGCAGATTCCGTGTTCAGGAATTATTGTATGAAATCGTGTGGATTGTGTGGTAAATATGTTTTCCACTTTGTCGTAGGTAAACAATACTGTGATATAGCGTATACTGTTTCTCGTATTTCAATCAGGTATATTAACACATGTCAAATATAGAGTAATACCTCGTTAGAATTCCATAATAATTAATTAACAGAATAATTTCGAGGTAAAAGACTCATTTGTGGTTGAGAAACGCTTAATTTGGGTTCCGCCTCCGCTGGTTTATGTTTATTTTCTTTCTTTTTGATGCTTCATCATTCTCCGTGGTTAAATTGACGTATACAGTTTGAGTTCTGAATTCGACATTGTATAATCGGCGCGGTACTTAGTGTGTTGTCGGCACGGTACGGTGTATGTTGTCTGTGCAGTACATTGTGTGTTGTTGGCGTAGTACAATGTGTGTTGTCGGCGGGTTACATTGTATGTTGTCTGAGCGGTACATTGGGTGTTGTCGAAGCAATACATTGTGTGTTGTTTGTGCAGTACATTGTGTGTTGTCGGTGCAGTACATTGTGTGTTGTCTGTGCAGTACAATGTGTGTTATCTATGGAGTACATTGTGTGTTATCGGTGCAGTACATTGTGTGTTATCGGTTATGTACATTGTGTGTTATCGGTGCAGTACATTGTGTGCTGTCTGTGCAGTACATTGTATGTTGTCTATGCAGTACATTGGGTGTTGTCGGCGCAGTACATAGTGTACGTTATCGGTGCAGTACCTTGTGTGATGTCGGCGCAGTACAGTGTTTTATCGGTGCAGTACATTGTGTGTTATCGGTGCAGTCCATTGTGTGTTATATGTGCAGTACATTGTGTGTTGTCTGTGCAGTACATTGTGTGTTATCGGTGCAGTATATTGTGTGTTATCGGTGCAGTATATTGTGTGTTATCGGTGCATTACATCGTCGTTGGTTTGGTACATTGTGTGTTGTCTATGCAGTACAACATTGTGTGTTGTCTATGCAGTACAACATTGTGTGTTGTCTATGCAGTACATTGAGTTTTATCGGTGCATTACATCAATTTGTTTCGAACAGATAACAATAGGATTCAGCATGACTATACAAAATAAATAAAAATATAAAACATACTTAACAACACAAAATGGCGTTGGCGAAACTATGGGCTTTGTCGTCGTTTTAATAGGTGTATCATCACTTTGTTTTATGGGTTATGGTTATGTCATGTTCTCTATAAATAAATCCTCGATATATCATAAGATTTCGAATGGTTATGTATTGACAAGCATATATCTATGGCTTTGGAATAACAAATAATCCAGTTGTTACTTCTGTATTCACAGCTATGACGTCATCAACAGCTGCGACAACTGGTTGTCAGGACAGTAACCAGCAGTCCTGCGCTTTCGAAATACTTCCTATCGTATGCTTTGATGATATTATGAAGTTTTACTGTCGAAAATCTTGCAACATATGCGGTAAGTTTGTTCATAAATTTGAAATAACAATTGTCCGGATAGGGCTTGCCATTCACAATCTAAAAAAATGAATTTGTCAAATTGATCTCTTGTCCCGATTGTCTTTTCTTCCTCCCTAAATTAGTCATTGTGGATCAAAAAGTTGTCTTAGTGTCAACGTAACTGCAAATATATAGTATGCAATACCTAAGAACTTACCTGTTAATGATATTCTTACTTATAAACCTACCCATCCTTGTTAATACTTCTTCATGCATACCAACTTACCTATGTATTAATTCTTTGTTGATATATATGTATTAACAAGTGCCGCTCGATTTTTCTTAAATCCAATTAATTAAGGGCTTCATGCATTCAATTTCAGCAGTAGCGTGATATATAATAAATACAGCTTTCTCTTAATTAATCGAAGTTCTTGAAATTCATTTAATAAAGGGGGTTAACACACCTACCGTTCTGCATTTCCATCTTTTTGGCCTAAGTGTCACTAATGGGTCTTAATCTGTAAGGTGCAGTGCATTTTTTTTTTAATTTGTTTGATACTGTATCCACATAAAGCTATTTTTAGTCAATTTTATTACCTGGTAACTTACAATACTTTTTTCATTAGGTAAGTCAAACAATCACAATCTATATCATTTATAACACGGAGGAGAAATATAATTAAGGATTATTCTTGTACATATTTTTTACAATGTACCTAAATGTTTGGATTTCATTGTCAAATGTGAATATAGTTCTATCATGCAGAAGACCCTTTGTGAAAATCATACATTTCATTTTCCTATGTTAACTTGAATCTTCATTGTCTACAATATTCACTAAAACGCAGATATCAAATTCTTCTTCTAGTTTACTACCTAGTCACTGTAGATCAAACATTATTCTTTAATATAATGCTTGATGTAAAAGGAGCTATTTAAGATAATATTTTGTTGGGCTATTGTCCCGAAAAAAGTCAGTGCAAGCTCTAAAGTTAGCAGCTTTAATGTGTAGTACTTTTATTACTATTTTACAGACTTGGTGGTTCCACCTACCTCTGCCTGTGTTGACAAGCATCCAATTCAATGTAATAACCAAACAATGTTGACGAGTATTTGTGCGGATAAAGATTTAGCCGACCTATTTTGTCAAAAGAGTTGTGGAATGTGTCAGGGTAAGTCATTACTCCAGTATCGTTTGTTAGAATTTCAATTATTTTTGCACTGTACTTGAAGCATTCAAGCCCGTTATTAAGAATAGTCCTAGCCTACGAGAGCTTACACTATGGGTAACATAACAAATGCTTTCCGAATTTAGGTATTCATTCTTGAGGTGAACAATCATCCATTGACTGTTTTCGTATGACCTTACCTCTTTCGAGGACACAAAACCTTAGACAAATTGATGAAAAACCTCCTTTCAATAAATTATCTTTAGAGGCGATTTATATGGTAACCTTGCATAATTGAGGATTTTTCTCTGTGTTTGTTTCTTGTGTATCAACGAATATCATGACTTTTGTAACAGATGTCCATTGATGACGGACAAACGTACCCCACAGGGTTTCCGCGGAGCCAAGTGGTTAATGCGTCTGACATCCTGCTATCACTAGCCCTCCACAAATGGGTCACGGGTTCGAGGCTTACGTGGGTCAGTCGCCAGGTACTGACCGTAAGTCGGTGATTTTTAACCGGGAACTCCGGCTTTCACTACCACCAAAACCTGGCACGTCCTTAAATGACCAGAGCTGTTAATAGGACGTGAAACACAAACAAACAAACAAAAAAGGTTTCCAAAGTTGCGGGTTGATAAAAACTTTCACCATCAGGAACTCACAGGGAAATAAATATGATATCTCTTTGTGTGATATGAAGGTCGATGCTTTTTATAACGCTCATTAGAGTATTTTGTGTTTTTTTGTCACTTCCCCAGTTATCGTTGAGAGGACGTGACATTACTTGAGTTTACTTAGATTTACATGGTGGTTGTCATCGATGAAGCTGAAAACGCTTACCCTTCTGGTACACCTGGTCTTATTTTCTTGCACTTTTTCCAGGGTCTCAATGTAAATCCCTCCTTTGTCAATATGCCCTAGTTTTATTGATTTTGAGTTAGAATTATGGGTTTGTTACACTTCGGTATTTTTTTTTGTATGGCACATCTGTAAGGTAACACTTCAATGTGTCCTTTACTGGCCTCTAATTTTTATTTATTTATATAAAGTCGTACCATATGGTTACATATGCACGTTCGTATGGTGAATTTTACACTGTAAAACTTACTACACGTTGCTATCGGCCGATTTTATTGTCGTCCTTTTCAACTATGTACATGTGCGATAGTGGTGAATTCAAAACTGAGTGGATTTGTTTTAAATGGTCAGAAGTTAGAGCACAGCATGACCATTTGACGGAAAAACCCCGACTTGCGATATATATATATTGGAATTCCGTTATATTCTATGATTCATGATGAAAACAAGTTATATGTCGAATAGGTGATTTTAATTAAACGTTTGGTATAATTACAAACGTAAAAATATTGATAATTATGATGTTTTTTTTAAATTTTTTGTTAGAAACGCAAAAATACATGCCTAAATAGTTTGACCATTTCTGTTGCCTTCCACAATAGGACCGAGAAACAAGTGTTGCGAACAAAATAAAAAGGTAAACAATCGAATTTGAACTTTCATTCTGTTAAGGATATTGAATTGTAGAAGTTTCTGTTTTAGGAGCTACCTCTCCCGCTACAACAACGTGCCAAGACGACGACGTAAGATGCTTCAGTCTACCGTTTTTGGCCATGGCGTGCTCCGACCCCAACCAGAAGCATCTGTGTAGACAGAGCTGTAGTGTTTGCACATAATAAACATAATAAAAGCCATTAGATCAAAGCGTTATGGTGGGTTCTTTTTCAGCGAAATCTAAACTATGATTGCAATCCATCTGGAGAACTTTCATTTTGGTGCTAACTTGGAACTGGTCTGTTAAAACAAATAGGGCGTTCAAAATTACGTTCCCGTTTATGCAAATCTGATACTCCGAATTTAAAATCATTGTCTCCTTCTTAAAATTCTGTGAAATATGGAACTAGACACAGTACGTTCTATATAATGTTCCCGTTTATGTAAAACTAATAGCAAAAAGAAGTGATTTTTCCGTAATTGATTTTTTTTCTTTGTTTTACAAGTTGTACTCGCTGCATCATACTTGAAGACGACAATAATATATAGAAGAAAGTTTTGATTTATACACATGGAATCAGTATACAGTTTAGTGATTAGCTGCGACTAAAACGTTTCACTGGCTGCCATATTGGATTCAACATGATGCTATCAAATGGGGCTTTCCCACAAGCTGGTTTGTTGTGACTAAACGTCACATTCAAGCACAACATGAACGTTCCACTAAATTGACCATGTTTCACACTGTGTATGACCATTTTCTTAATATAAGTTATTTGAACTATGAGAGTAGTGAAGTGATGGGGTAACTAATGTATCAAGACAGTTGTCACTGGCTGTGAGCTTCAAATATTAGAGTTATTAGCTTAAATGTTCGGTAATAATATATCGTAAATGATTTAGTTGTGTGAGTCTTTAAGTCGGACAGTTACGTAATCCACATCCGGATTACACCAAGAATATTAAATGTCGCTATTCATGGTTCTAACTCCAAGGTCGTAAGAAAACTCAGTCGTTCATAAATCATTCGATACGTATTACAATATAATGTTGAAAACAGTATATATTCAGAAATGGTTTTAACAAGTTAATAAAAAAACTATGAATATATACCAACTAAAAGTCCTAAACGAGCGATAAAAATATCAGCCAATATTTACACACAAACCAATTCGTAAGAAACAATCATTTTAAAGTAACTGCATACACGTACACACAATCTCACATACTGACACACAAACCTATCCGTAAGTACAGATACACACAATCTCCCATACTTACAAACAAATCTATCTGTGAGCACAAATAAACACAATCACCCATACTTACACATAAATCTATCTGTGATAACAAATACACACAATCTCCTATACTTACACAAAACTATCCGTAAGTACAAATACACACAATCTCCCATACTTACGCACAAATCTATCTGTAAGTACAAAAACATTCAATCTCCCATACTTACACACAAATCTATCTGTAAGTACAAATACACGCAATCTCCCATACTTACACACAAATCTGTCTGTAAGTTCAAATACACGCAATCTCCCATACTTACACACAAATCTATCTGTAAGTACAAATACACACGATCTCCCATACTTACACACAAATCTATCTGTAAGTACAAATACAAACAATCACCCATACTTACACACAAATCTATCTGTAAGTACAAATACACGCAATCTCCTATACTTACACACAAATCTATCTGTAAGAACAAATACACTCAATCTCCCATGCTTACACACAAATCTATCTGTAAGTACAAATACACGCAATCTCCCATACTTACACACAAATCTATCTGTAAGTACAAATACACTCAATCTCCCATGCTTACACACAAATCTATCTGTAAGTACAAATACACACAATCACCCATACTTACACACAAATCTATTTGTAAGTACAAATACACAAAATCTCCTATACTTACACACAAACCTATCTGTGAGTACAGATACACACAATCTCCCATAGTTACACACAAACCTATCCGTAAGTACAAATACACACAATCTCCCATACTTACACACAAACCTATCCGTAGGTACAAATACACACAATCTCCCATAGTTACACACAAACCTATCTGTTAGTACAGATACACACGATCTCCCATACATACACACAAACCTATCCGTAAGTACAAATACACACAATCTCCCATACATACACACAAACCTATCCGTAAGCATAAATACACACAATCTCCCATACTTACACACAAACCTACACACAAACCTATCCGTAGGTACAAATACACCCAATCTCCCATAGTTACACACAAGCCTATCTTTTAGTACAGATACACACGAGCTCCCATACTTACATACAAACCTATCCGTAAGTATAAATACACACAATCTCCCATACTTACGCACAAATCTATCTGTAAGTACAAATACACACAATATCCCATAGTTACACACAAACCTAACTGTTAGTACAGATACACACGATCTCCCATACATACACACAAACCTATCCGTAAGCACAAATACACACAATCTCCCATAGTCACACACAAACCTATCGGTAAGTACAAATACACACAATCTACCATACTTACACACAAACCTATCCGTCAGTACAAATACACACAATCTCCCATGCTTACACACAAATCTATCTGTAAGTACAAAAACATTCAATCTCCCATACTTACACACAAACTTATCCGTAAGTACAAATACAAACAATCTCCCATAGTTACACACAAACCTGTCGGTAAGTACAAATACACACAATCTCCCATAGTTACACACAAACCTATCTTTTAGTACAGATACACACGAGCTCCCATACTTACACACAAACCTATCCGTAAGTATAAATACACACAATCTCCCATAGTTACACACAAACCTATCGGTAAGTACAAATACACACAATCTCCCATAGTTACACACAAACCTATCGGTAAGTACAAATACACACAATCTCCCATACTTACCCACAAACTTATCCGTAAGTACAAATACACACAATCTCCCATTCCCATAGTTACACACAAACCTATCTGTTAGTACAGATACACACGATCTCCCATACATACACACAAACCTATCCGTAAGTACAAATACACCCAATCTCCCATACTTACACACAAACTTATCCGTAAGTACAAATACACACAATCTCCCATAGTTAGACACAAACCTATCCGTAAGTACAAATACACACAACCTCCCATACTTACACACAAACTTATCCGTAAGTACAAATACACACAATCTCCCATTCCCATAGTTACACACAAACCTATCTGTTAGTACAGATACACACGATCTCCCATACATACACACAAACCTATCCGTAAGTACAAATACACCCAATCTCCTATGCTTACACACAAATCTATCTGTGAGTACAAATACACACAATCTCCCATACTTACCCACAAACTTATCCGTAAGTACAAATACACACAATCATCCATACTTACACACAAACCTGTCCGTAAGTACAAATACACACAACCTCTCATACTTACACACAAACGTATCTGTAAGAAACAATCATTTCAAAGAAACCACATACAAATACACACAATCACCCATACTTACACACAACCTATCCGTAAGTACAAATACACACAATCACCCATACTTACACACAACCTATCCGTAATTACAAATACACACAATCTCCCATACTTACACACAAATCTGTTTGTAAGTACAAATACACACAATCTCCTATACTTACACACAAACCTATCTGTGAGTACAGATACACACAATCTCCCATAGTTACACACAAACCTATCCGTAAGTACAAATACACACAACCTCCCATACTTACACACAAACTTATCCGTAAGTACAAATACACACAATCATCCATACTTACACACAAACCTGTCCGTAAGTACAAATACACACAACCTCTCATACTTACACACAAACGTATCTGTAAGAAACAATCATTTCAAAGAAACCACATAAAAATACACACAATCACCCATACTTACACACAAACCTATCTGTAAGTACAAATACACACAATCTCCCATGCTTACACACAAATCTATCTTTGAGTACAGATACACACAATCTCCCATAGTTACACACAAACTTATCTGTTAGTACAAATACACACAATCTCTCATGCTTACACACAAACCTATCCGTAAGTACAAATACACACAATCACCCATGCTTACACACAAACCTACTGGTAAGTACAAATACACAATTTCCCATACTTACACACAAACCTATCCGTAAGTACAAATACACACAATCTCCCATACTTACACACACACCTACCCGTAAGTACAAATACACACGATCTCCCATACTTACACACAAACTTATCCGCAAGTACAAATACACACAATCTCCCATACTTACACACAAACGTATCTGTTAGAAACAATCATTTCAAAGAAACCACATACAAATACACACAATCTCCCATACTTACACACAAACCTATCTGTAAGTACAAATACACACAATCTCCCATACTTACACACAAACCTATCTGTAAGTACAAATACACACAATATCCCATACTTACACACAAATCTATCTGTGAGTACAATTACACACATTCTCCCATACTTACACATGAACTTATCTGTAAGTACAAATACACACAATCTCCGTTACTTACACACAAATCTATCCGTAAGTACAAATACACACAATCTCCCATACTTACACACAAATCTATCTGTGAGTACAACTACACACAATCACCGATACTTACACAAATCTATCTGTGAGTACAAATACACATAATCTCCCATACATACACACAAACCTATCTGTGAGTACAAATACACACAATCTCCCATACTTACACACAAACCTATCTGTAAATACAAGTATACTCAATCATCCATACTTACACACAAACCTATCCGTAAGTACAAATACACACAACCTCTCATACTTACACACAAACGTATCTGTAAGAAACAATCATTTCAAAGGAACCACATACAAATACACACAATCACCCATACTTACACACAAATCTATCTGTGAGTACAAATACACAAAATCTCCCATACTTACACACAAATCTATCTGTGAGTACAGATACACACAATCTCACATAGTTACACACAAACCTATCTGTAAGTACAAATACACACAATCTCCCATACTTATACACAAATCTATCTATAAGTACAAATACACACAATCACCCATGCTTACACACAAATCTATCT